AGCGATGCCATCAGCAGGATACCCATCCAGTTCGGTATACAAGGTAAAGTCTAAACATCTGTTTGACAAATTAACAGCACTAAAATGCATTTAATTCTAAAATATACATGTGATAAAGTTATGTTAAGAAAAACTTAAGTTTGTGATTCTGAATGTAGACAAAACAGAAGTTACTGTCTTTGGATCAAAGTCTTTGAAATAGAAGCTGAGAAGTCAGTAAATTCATTTGGATGGGATTAAATTGATCTCAGATACTAAAGTAAATTACATCTATTCTCCCATTCTCCAACATTTGTTAGTTCAATCTCTAATATTATCCTGTCTCTGCTTTTTCTCATAGTAGCTTCATCTGGTCTGTTCCTGTTTGGCTGTGCCAACATCCCGGAGAGAATTATCAGCTGTGCTGCTGCCAGTCTTTCAGTGTTGTCCTGTTTTTTTTTTTTTTTACTGTATTTCCTCTCTTTTGTCCTAAAGGGCCTTGAGATGATATGTGTTTTGAATTACTGCTATATGAATAAACTTAATTAAATTAAATGTGTTCTAGTGGATCCTGTTGCACCATCATGCTCAGAAGGCGATTATCTGCCCAGATTTCTGCCTCCAACTCCAGAACATGGAGCTCGATTCTACTGTAACGTCAATCAGCCTCTGGAGATCAAAATCAGCGGAATCGCAAATAAGGCTGAGTGAGAAAATACAAAAGGCATAAAATATAGATGCACTACAAATAAAATAAAAGATGCATCATAAAATTTTTGTAGAAATAAATTCTATTCTTTGTTACATCCTCACAACTTTTGATAAGTTCATATATTTGTTTCAAAGATAGCCTAACAGATAAATGTTCCAGTTTAAACAGCAGTGGATAACCTAATTAGGTAAAATGCAAAAAGCTGGGGTGTTACCTGGCAACCCCTCCAGTTGCAGGAACTCCTGTATCCTGCATCCCCCAAATATTAACATTAAGAGGTTGAAAAAGAGCAGACTGCTTTGTAGGTATTTAAGAAGCTTGAAACGTCAATAAATATTTCTTTATATTCTCTGTTCCATAAAGGACCTTGGAGCTTCTGTTCAGCGGACCTCACAATGTGGTCAAAACTTCTTCAGGATCAGGAAACTTCTATCTGAAATGGAAACCATCTATAATTGATGAAGGACCTGGCCATCCCATCTGTTTTGTTATTCAGAGTTCACTTTTATAGTAAGATTTCTGATCACTCTGAAGTTTGTGTGTTAAAAAACTCAAAGTCCAGAGTGTAAGGGGTTGATGACTTTTCTTGCGGGCTCTAAACACAGAGTGTCTGAGCCTCAGGTTTGCATGCAAATTCCATGGGAGATGCCACCCAGGAACGTTGAGAGGTCCAGTGGCACAATTTTAGCATGAGGAACAGCGAGCCTTAGAGTGTTTGCAGCATTGTCTCCAATGGTGGAGGCTGGAATTGGAACATCTGAACGTTTGCCATTGTACATTGAGTGTCAACCAATCAGAAACAGATATCCAAGGAGTTTCAGAATAAAATCTAAAAAATTAATATACAGTAAATATAAATTTAGTTTCACCATAAAGTTGGGAGAATGTATGTTTTTATTGTAGAAGGAGAGAGTGCTCTGATCATTTTTACTTCAATGAAATATTTTATTATTAAACTCCAATGAAAACTTTATAAATACTTATAATAACAAAAAATGGTAAAACCTGCCTGCAAGAAATATGACATTTTGAACTCTGGTAAAGTTTCTAACACACACATAAAAAACACTTTATATTCACGCCAAAACGGCCGGGGAATTTAATTCGCATAGACAAGCAAGTGGAGGGTCTGCTGATCTGAACAACAACAGAATGTTAAAGTAGGAACATAGTCCTAATGAATTGGCCACACAGATAACATTTCACTGTGTACTTCACTTAGAAATATTTTTTTATCTAACTCATTTCAACAAAACGAATAAACTCAAGCTACTCTCACAATTGCAAAGAAAAGAGCAGGAGCTTTGAGTATCCGAAGGTTCAATCATCAAGAGAATTTGACTTCTAAATACAAAAGTGTCAATTTTTTTAAAATCTTGAAATGTGCTTGATGTGAACGCAGCACTCAAGAGAATTACTTTTCCAAAGGATGATCTTTTTTATTGTCCATTATAGTCATGCTTGGTGGCTACTTTTAAACAGGAGGTGATGTAGAAACAAAACAGAACGGTAAAAATGGAGCAATTGTTCAATTGGCCAAACCTTCTCAGAAGAAAAATCATCTTCCTTTTTTTAGGGAATAGAAGCATCCCCTAGAAATACACACAAATTTTAAAAGTATAAAAGTATTTGGTAAAAAGGCTACTTCAGTAGTGAGTAATTGTTGGAAACTAACATGTGATTTAATTTTTACAAATGATACAGATTTTATGTTCAAGTTCTGGTATTTTGAAATACTCAGTATTAGTATCTTTACAGCAGTAATAAAGCAACCTTCCAAATCTCCCTCCACAGTGACACCAGTTCTGTGTATCAGTCTGAACTTCGATGTGTCGTTGTGACAGTTAAGCGTAAGTAAATTCTTTCGTTTTCCATAAACTCATGATTCTACTTTTATCCCAGGACCAACAATGACTTGAAAGTATTTTTTTGTATCTACAATCACTTTGACACGCTCAAATCATCCCCAGAGAATATGTAATAAGGTTAAAAGCAGGAGTTAAAGTATCTGGAAGTATTACCCAACCCCAAGGCTGATTGGTATGGTAGTTTATAGCCATCCGAAACAGATTACAACACTGTCATTAATTAACAGGTTACCGGTAATGGTGCTGTATGCCTGTCTCTTCAAGTCTTCCTCTTAAGTTGTGTCGACAACAGGAGGAGTTATTGTCACACTGCTTTTGGGTGCAGAGTGTATCATAGTTTGCCTCTAACCTCTGAAGAATGAGGCTCATAGATACTTTGGGGTTTCTTACAGGAATCTGATGATAGCATGCAAAGCTAAAACAAGTCCTGTAGTTTTTCGAGCTTGATGCTGCAGCTGGTTAAACATTTTTTCAGAGAACAAGTGTCATTACACTTCATAACCATTGGAAATGTGGAAAAAGAGAAAAGAAATGCTTCAGACACTCCAGAAATGTATGTTTTCCCCATAAAAAATAATATTGCCTTTAGGAGCAATAGGAGTAAAACAATGACCTCTTTATTCATATTTATTTCTAACCCTACTAAAATCGACTACTTGCCTATATTTCCACACACTCAAAGAGAGAGAGATGGAGAGAGAGATGCTATTTTACAGTTTATAACTTTAAGTTTGATATAAAAACTGTTTACTGCTACAAAATAAGTCTCAACCCCAGAGGCATAGCCAGAAAATTTTTCTAAGGGTGGCCAGGCAATAACCAATGTACACCAAAGGGTGGCCGAAAGCGGATCAGCACCAGAACCTTAGGCTCAATCTATACTGATCCAACAGGAAAATGAACAACCACAACATCCATATTTTCCAAATAAAGACAAACTATACTTTACTACAGCCTTTGCTAACAAATAGATGCATATATTTAAACATCCATCTAGATAAAACTTCTTTTTGATAAAGTTCTTTCAGGTTTGAGTTCTGGGTCGAACATCTTTTCCATCATCATTACTTACCTACTTTTATCAATAATCATTCTGCATAAAATTGATATTTACAAGTACTAATATCTACAAAAATTGTTTATTTACTAAGTTTTTATAAGAATAGTTATTTATCTATTATTTAACTTAAAACTGATGTGCATTTTCTCTTTACCCCATATAACAAAAAATCTAGTTCTGAAAAGAGCATGAATTCTGTACTTTATCATCTTTAATGTTAGTATATTGATGTGTATAATTAACCACAGTGTTTTTGTGGTCAAGTAATTGTTAATCAATTAAAAATTTAAATTTTTTGAATATTGGGGTAATGGGGGAAAAATGGTAGGGGTGGCCACAGGAATGGCCAATGATTGGGTAAGGGTGGCCATGGCCACCCCTGTCCCCCCTTCTAGCTCTGCCCCTGCTCAGCCCCCAATGCTAAATTCCTCTGAATCCAGGTTTGCTGTACTCTTGTTCTTCCAGGTGATCCTGTTGTTCTAAAACTGACCATATGGACTACACTGTCACTGGAGGAAAACAAGGACAACATTTTAAAAACGGTCAGACATCTTTGAATTGAATCCCTAATTATTTAATGAAACATACATGAGTATAATGTTATTTTCCTTATAATATATTTTATGTTAATGTTTGTTATAGACTTTCGATAAAGTCAAACTGCATCCCTGATTGAAGAGTTTTTCAAATTTGCTGCATCTCTTTTTTTCTTCCACAGGTGAGAGAAGAACTTGTCAAACTAGGCTTGCCAGCACATGTCCCGGTGCGGCTGAAGGGGGACGATCAAGCCGAAGAAAGTGGCAGTGCTTCCCCCTAGTGGCTAAATTTGAGAATGAGCGTGAAACCTGCTGGGAAACTTGACTGGGATTATCTGTTTGTTTTTTTTCAGTTTCATATGAACAGATGGTTTGTCTTTTTGTTTATTATAATTCTACATTTTCCTGATATTTAATACACAGTTCTCTATTGTGTAAAATACAAAGATATTGCAAAATATTGATATATTCACATGCATCAATATCAATTACTCATCATAACGAAGTAAATGAGTTGAAGAAAAATGTTTTTCACCAGAGCTATTTATTAAGGAATGTATTTACCAAGGGTTATTGTTAGCCACTTTCCATCTGAATATTTTTCATTTATGCTTCTGAGGCTTTTAGTGATCTTCACATCTGATCTTTTTCTACACCTGCTGATTATAGAGCTATAAACAGCATATATTTTTTGTATAAATTATTCATTATGTCAGCAAATTCAGGTCCCAATGGCTCCTTTTGTGATCTGGAACACAAATTAGAAATTAAGGCATTGTCGAAGGTTTATAGAGATGTCTGGATTCCTTAATTTCTCTGCATTTAGGATGTCATTTAGGATGACCTTTAGGATGTCATTTAGGATGACATTTTCATCTGCTGATCATAGTCCCAGAATTCAATCATCCCATAAATGTGTTTAATGGTAGGTATACAAAATCCAGAACATTGTTATAAAGACTGTTTCTACTAATTGGAGCCAGAATTTACAGTCATTGCGTATTACAAACACAAAGAGTGAGCATGAACGCACCACTTTCTGGCCCTGGATGAGATAAACGTATTGCTATCATCTGTAAACATGTAGGTATGGACTTAAAGTGTAAACAAATGAATGATGTAAATAAAGATTATTATAAATGAATCATACAGGCAACATCAAGTGTTGGGAGTGGAAGTTAAATCTATACGTTTGCCTTGAGCTGATGTCCTTGTTTAAGTATTTAATTTAGAAATAACACAGAACATCATGCAGCCAAGAAGCTTTATGGAGTCTCGGTTTCTGGGTTTTGAGTAATCCTGCTAACTGTAGCGACTATGCAGTTATATTTACCTGTGCCTTAATCCTCATTTCCTAGCTTACTAGCACTTGCTGTTTTACTTTCATCAGTAATTGTTCTGACACACTAAAATTTAAAATTTTATGATTTCACTCAATTTTTCCTTCTTTATTTAAATAATTTTGAACAGAAATTGTACTAAACAATATGAAGTTATGTGCATATAAAAAGTTTTTTCTTTTTTATAGGTTCTCTACTTCCAGTAAAAGCAAATGCTATTTCTCAACATAAGAGTAGCTAGGGTACTTATCATTGTAAATCTTATACAAGTAGCAAAGTGAACAGACTACTAATGTAAGAGTCAGCCTCGTACAGTAGAGATACTCTTTATTCTTCAAGCATAACTCTTGTGTGAAAGTGACAAATGTGATCAGAGTAAACTCAATACACATTAACCAAGAGTAGTTAAGAAAATATGTATAAAATAAATATATATAAAGAGAGAACTATACCTAATGTTCATCTGGGGGACAAGTTAAAGTTTCATTAAAAACTGTGTGTTTTAAATAAAAACTTTTAGCTTTTTTGCTATAAATATGCCAACTGCTCAGAGAGCTGCTCACGGTAGCAGACTGACACGTTTGTGGATCACTTCACAATGAGGAGCAACGTTCAAGAGAAACATGAAATGTTTGTTTCAGTAAAACAAAAGAAGACAATTGGGCGGTACCCTAAATTTGACACATTATCATTCTATAAGAGTGAAAGACAAGAGATTAATGATGCATTTATTAAAATAGGCAGGAATAACTGTGGAAAAATCTGTTACTATCTGCCAAGCAAAAGCATTTGTTGATTCTCTGCAGCAAAACAAGAGGACAGGTCAGAGGTTGTTCCAACCAAGACATGTGCTCTAGGTAAACATGCTCCAGAAAAGTTACATCATGCATTAAACAAAAGAATACTAAAACTCTGGAAGTAGTACGATCTGACTCACAAGCAGGCTTCAACCATGGAAAGAACCCAGAATCTGACAAGCGCATAACAAGCAGATGGATATTTTTAACCTTCTCAGAGCACAGGGTGCTCTAACTACGAGGCCAACACTCCCAAACGAGAGATGATTACCCAGACATATTCTCACCAGAAAAAAGATGAATTACTTCAAGGATAATAACATCCTTAAATATAGCTGTGTTTTAATCATTTTGTGGTCATACACAGACTTTAATATTAGATTTTGTAGTTAAGAGTAATGCTACCTGAGGGAATTTTGTACAATCTCTAAAAAGTTAAAGATAGTAAGATCTGAGTATGTATTTCATTTTTGAAAGGTTAGCTTTTTTTTTTAAATCTTTTTTTATGCTTCTGGAGGATTATATGAAAATAAATATTTAGCAACCTTTAATTACATAAATAATAATGCCCCTGGAGGTATTAGGTAAAAAAACAAAAATATTCTTAATTTTTCTTAATCAACAGAAAAAAATATCCTTATGTTAAAACAAGATTCAGAAATTCCTCATCAACTGTTCATTGATCATTACCTCTCTGCCACCAGATATTTGCACAATGAGGCTCCTGCTCAAATCCAAGAAATAAATGGAAATCATTATAAATATGTAATGAACAGTAAACAGAAAGAGTGAAAGATATTAACTTATGTACCCAGTTACTACAGTATGTCCTGCTGCTGCTGGTCAGCTGCACAAAGGCTACATTAAGGCTGGAAAGAGATACTTTGCTTCAAAAAGAAATCTGAATACTGTGTTTATCATCTCTTTTTGCCATTAGAAAACTAATGAAGAGCATAATTTTTTATTTTTTATGGTGGTTTATTTTGACACAGAAAACCAGTTTGACATAAGAAAAACCAACATAGTTCAGAGACCCATTATTTGTGAGTTTTATTAGGCTTTATGAATTGTTATGAGCTGATGTTTATGCTTTGATACTTTTTCTTGAAATAATAATTACAGTTGGTAAGAAAAATTTGTATTTTATATGTCTTAGAAAGAATAACAACAATGATGATATTTGTGTTGGTAAGTAATAAAATGAGCCAAATAAAAAAGTTTTTTGATTACAAGCATTTTCAATGAATGAAGTTTCTAAAAGTAATTGGAGCTAAAAGTAGAGGGACTGGCTGGAGAAACCGGTTTGAGTTTCATCATGGCTCAGTTTGTTAATGTGTATCTGCACAGACTGCTGCCAACTACTCTAACCAAAAGAGTTCAGCTTTGCATATGTTATATTCCAGGAGTGTTTGGTTTCAGTTTTGTTTGCATTTTCACCATTTCCCTTCATTTTGCTGTATCATGTTCATTTCTGTGATAAATACATCCTCTATGATGTTACTAAATTAGTTTATGTATAGTTTCCTAGATAATCTTCTTGTTATTTTCACATTTGGATTCACCTCTGTTAGAATTTTCCCATCATTTTAGATGTTTTTTTGCAACTTATATCATTTTTATGATACTAGTTCTTTCCTCAGCCTCCCTGCAATTAAAAAACCTCTTCCTCCTGTATCAAATCTTCATTATATCATCTATGTTGTTTTTTTCTTTTTTTCCCCAGTCTACCATCTGCACTAGGAGTCCTTCTAAATGTCCAAGGATGACAACGTCACTATCAGCTATGCAAATCAACATGCGAGCAGAGGCAAATCAGTTTGAAAGAGGATATGAAGTTCATTTAAAATATATTTCTGCTTAACAAAAAAGGACGGCACACATGAAAGTCCCTTGTTAGAACATTTTAAAACATACAGTAGTGAATAAGACTTCACAATTACCTGATCTCTTTTAAAACTTCCTCTCATGATGAAACCTTTTCAAAGATAGGAGTTATGTAAATAAAGGAAGGCTTAACTTAAATTTGCATGAAACTTTCATCTGGCTCTTCAGAGTATAGACAAGGTTGGAAAAAAAAAATAACAGAGTAAAAAAATACTGGGCTTCTTGTTAAGATTTTAAAATGATTTTCTTTTATTCAGTTTGGGTCAGCCATTCTTTTTTTCTGTACTGTTGAAGAAATACAGAGCTGTTGTTCAGCAAGAGAGCTTATGTAAAGGTGTGTAGGAACCCAGAACAAAAAGACCTAAACTTGATCAGTCTTGCCATTTTAGAAATAAATCTGATGGAAATATGGGCTTTTAAAATGTGATTGTGCCATCAAATTATCTGGATCATATTTTCTCTTTGAAAAACATTTAATGGTTTTCAATCCAATAAATTAGTTGAGGTAGAGGCACAAAGTAAAATATTTACAACATTTGTTTGTATTTTCTCTGTTAAACATTTAAGTTGAGTATTTCATTATAGCAGTAACCTGATTAATGATGTTAATCGGTCACATTTTAAGGTTTTTGTTTTAGCTTTTCTCAAATTTTTTAGAAAATGATTAAGATTATCTAAAACATTTTGTTCAATCGCTGTTTAGAAAAAAGGATAACACCATTAAAAATCAATAGCATTAACTGTTTGAGTTAAAATTTTTCTAAATTTCACATAAATTTTAACCTGAGCATACCACCTGCAGTAGCAGGAATTTGTTGTCCCTGCTAATGTCATCTTGCTTAAGGTAATTAAGATCCATTAAGGGAATAGAAAACAACCCTTAATAGAAGAGTGAATTCAAGCTGACGGCAGTTTTGAGACTTGGGGCTGAGGTGAGCAGGTGCATTAAACAAGCGCTCCCAACTCAGTCGACAAGATTTCTTCTACCAGAGGATTATTAGCCTTTAGAATCCATAAACTAATAATGAAAAAGGGGAAAAACAACCAAAAGTAATGGTAATCTGAAACACACACAAAAAATATAGGCAAGAGAAACGTCTAAGGAAATGCTAGAAAAGTCTTATCCAACCTGCATATAAGGCCATGGAAATGCTTCGAGCTTGGATTGAAACTATTCACAAAGAGATTTTATGTCTGCATTCAGATATGAAGACAGGTTGCTTTCATGCTTTCAAAATGTAAAGCAAGTTAACCAGTTTTAGAGTGGAGAAAAATTGGAAAGCTAATCCCACATCTGACACCACTTGTCACATGCTCCAAGAAGTCTTGGAGATGGGATCCAAACCGGTTGAAAGAAGCACATGGTCCAAAGAGCTTTCAGCTAAGAAATCTTTAATTTTTTTCTGGTGCAGGACATCAACCAAACCACACCAACCAACAAGAACAATGGCAGACATATTTCTTATATAGAGGGGGAACTAAATTGGAAGAAACCATTTTTAAAAGGATGTTCAGTTGCACAATAACAAGAAAAAGAAAATTTGTTTAAAATGAACAGCTAATTCAGAAAAACTTTTACCAATAAATACAGAAAACAAATATTTCAATTCAACCCCCAAAAATACTCAAACTCCATAGAGAAAACACCATACATGATCTCAACCTCCCCCCTTCAATTCCTGAATGGTGCAGTCCTGTACACATCTGCTTGGAGAGTGAAATAGCAGAGGTGAGTATTTCACAATGAGTTTTGATATTTTAACTCTTTAATCCATATATTTCCCTTTTAGGAAGAGTTAAGCAAAACAATATTGTAAAGTGAAATCCATTTACTTTTTTAACAAAAATGAAAACAAGATGTGGCCAACCAAAGACCCACACCCCAAACAAATCCACTTCACCCAAAACAACAAAAATAAACCAGAAAACCAGATGCATGTTTAACTGCTACTTTAGCCAATATACAGGTAACAATGGCTCATTGTTACATGTGGGTAAAATGTAAGAAACTAGTGACAGGCTATATGACCTTTTGCAGTGTCTGGCAGTAATGGAGGAGTGGGCTGCAGTTCTGAAAGAGGGGGGTGTCAAAGTCCAAGCTACCAATAAAAAAATCCAAGCCAAACTGATTGATTTAGAGGCACACTTGCAAAGACATAATAATGGTCTATTTGGTATCCTTTAAGACACAGAGAGAGACAACTTGTTGGAGTTTCTCAGTCTTGCCACGGTGTTGATTTAGCCATACAATGCTGCATCAATGCTTTAGGACCCAAACCACTGCACAATGTAAGCCTCCACTCCATTGTGATCTACACTCACCGGCCACTTTATTAGGTACCCCATGCTAGTAACGGGTTGGACCCCCTTTTGCCTTCAGAACTGCCTCAATTCTTCGTGGCATAGATTCAACAAGGTGCTGGAAGCATTCCTCAGGGAGTTTGGTCCATATTGACATGATGGCATCACACAGTTGCCGCAGATTTGTCGGCTGCACATCCATGATGCGAATCTCCTGTTCCACCACATCCCTAAGATGCTCTATTGGATTGAGATCTGGTGACTGTGGTACATTGTGGTCATAAAGGGATGGACATGGTCAGCAACAATACTCAGGTAGGCTGTGGCGTTGCAACGATGCTCAATTGGTACCAAGGGGCCCAAAGAGTGCCAAGAAAATATTCCCCACACCATGACACCACCACCACCAGCCTGAACCGTTGATACAAGGCATGATGGATCCATGCTTTCATGTTGTAGACGCCAAATTCTGACCCTACCATCCGAATGTCGCAGCAGAAATCGAGACTCATCAGACCAGGCAACGTTTTTCCAATCTTCTATTGTCCAATTTCGATGAGCTTGTGCAAATTGTAGCCTCAGTTTCCTGTTCTTAGCTCAAAGGAGTGGCACCCGGTGTGGTCTTCTGCTGCTGTAGCCCATCTGCCTCAAAGTTCAACGTACTGTGCGTTCAGAGATGCTCTTCTGCCCACCTTGGTTGTAACGGGTGGTTATTTGAGTCACTGTTGCCCTTCTATCAGCTCGAACCAGTCTGGCCATTCTCCTCTGACCTCTGGCATCAACAAGGCATTTCCGCCCACAGAACTGCCATTCACTGGATGTTTTTTCTTTTTCGGACCATTCTCTGTAAACCCTAGAGATGGTTGTGGGTGAAAATCCCAGTAGATCAGCAGTTTCTGAAATACTCAGACCAGCCCTTCTGGCACCAACAATCATGCCACGTTCAAAGTCACTCAAATCACCTTTCTTCCCCATACTGATGCTCGGTTTGAACTGCAGGAGATTGTCTTGACCATGTCTACATGCCTAAATACACTGAGTTGCCGCCATGTGATTGGCTGCTTAGAAATTAAGTGTTAACGAGCAGTTGGACAGGTGTACCTAATAAAGTGGCCGGTGAGTCTACTTTTTGACATATGTAACCAAGGTTTTTTTGGTCTGCTCTACATGGAAGAAAGGACACCTTAAATCAACAACAAGTTTATTTTTATAATGATTATCCAGCAGAGACCCAAAGAATATGAAGGCTTATGCTCCAATGAGATTCTTTGTGTCTTTCACGTCCAGGAATGTAAATAGAAAATTAGAGGGAGTGGATGAGAGGCAGTCAATGGGAGTATAAACACTGCTTATCTCTTGAAACTCATTTTTTGTGAGAGACGCTGACTTGTTCAACATTCAGCATGTTGCTGTCTGTGCTGCTGCTGCTGCTGATGGTCAGTGGTACACAACCCGAACATTATTATGGCACTGTGGTGACCTACTACCCAAAGGAAACCTACACAAACGGATCAGTCTCTGTAAGTATGGTTTGTTTATATATCTTATTTCTAACACATTCCTGTCTTTATTTTTATTTTTGTTTTTCTAATTTGATCACTCCTGGTATTTCCTCAAAACCTACAGGTGATCCTAAACTTTAAGTTTAACTTCCATTCCTGCCAGGAGGGTTTGTTTTCTTGCACAGGCAACTGTGCCAATAAAAGCTTGATGGTTTCAAATTCCACCATTGAGAAAATCGATGGCAGCTGGTGTCAAAGAGAAAAAATCACATTGGGGCTGTTTTCTAAAAACTCTCCATTTCAACTTGTGTAAGTCCACATTTATAAAGTTTGTAACAGTTTTTGTCTGGAAATGAGGAACTCAGATTATCCATTTGCTCGATAAAATACCAAGTCTTTAAGAATGTAAACTTTAATTTAATTTTTTTTTTATAGTAGTATAACTTTAAAGTGGGCCTTATAATCAATACATTTTGAGAAAAACATCAAATTCTATCAGCTATAGTTTTTTACAACTTGAATATCTATTCCAGGTATGACAGCGGTAACTGGTTAATTAATCATAACGGCATTCAATCCTGGAGAGCAGTGGTTGATGTTGAACTGAGACACCGCTCTGACACCAACAAACCCAACTCATCGCCACAGACCACCATCTTGCCTGCCTTAAGGTAAGTCGGATCACAAGTTAGCAAAGTTTTTTTTAATAAATTAAATATTTATGAATTATATAATTATTGCAATTCAGATATATGTAAATGTATGAATATATAAAAGGTTTTTCAATAATAATAAACTTTGTATAACAACTCAGAAAAAAGTTTGATGTATAGCAAAACCTTACATGATGCTACAAGGAAGGATGCATGGTGTTCCACTCAATAACACTGTTGCCTTGCAGCAGAAGGTTTTGAATTCGAATTCCAGCCTAGGGCCTTTCTGCCTGTTTGCATATTCTGCCACGTTAGCTTAAAAACTTTAGACTGGTTTTCAGAGTGTTAAAAGTATTCAAAAAATCATCTTATCCTGTACAGACTGTTTGGATAAGTTGATAAACAGTTTCTTCTTAGACTTCTTTTCATGATCAAATAGACATGTAGGCTGAGGCAAATGCAATGATATCAGTAAACATGCAGAGATGTGCGGTGCATGGTTTTTCTGCATTAAGAGAGGTCAATGTTTCTGCTATGCTCATGGAACCTATCAGAGTAAACAGTTGCAGTATTGTTTTCCAGGTTAAGAAGGTTGCTGTAATGACTGAAAGCTTAAAGAAGGTCCTGGAAGTTTTATATAAGTCCTTCAGACAAGAGTGAATTGGCTGGAAACAATCACATGTATGCCAGCAGTTTGATGTGTGTATAATACACAACCTGAATGAGCCTTTTAAGCATTAGACCTTTTCAGAGCGCTGAAATAAAGACCATCCTGTCTTTGGTTTATAGAGAAGAACCATGTCTGTTTTCTTTTCCTTCTTTATATCTATTTATTGTATGTTCTCTTCTTGAACTAATTTGTAATGATTATGCCATGGTTGTGGTTTTGATCCCTCTATGGGTCGCAAATTAGTTGTTTATATGTGCATACTTTCAAGCCTGGACAGTGCTTGAGATAGGGACCATTATATACAATAGATACAATAGATACATGGTGCAAGTTTGAATATCTCAATTCAAATAGGCTTATTCTCTTTTATTAAAATTATGGCTTTTGAAAAATGTAAAAATCTTAAACTGATTATAAAGGCACAACTTTTTTTCCATTTTTTCCCCAAATACTACTGAGAAAGCACATTGTTAAGGTTTTATTGAGGAACTAATCTGATCTGGATTCAAACGCAAAGCTGTTTTTAGAAGGTTACAGTGCTGCAATCCAGGCAGTTCCCTCACATTAACATTAATTTGATCATTTTTAATATTATTGATAACAAATGTGTTAGAAAGAGAATAAGCCCCTCTTTTGTGAATTGTCATCAGGACTGCATGAGGAGTGGTGTATATTTGATAAGACAAAAAATTACTACAAAACATTCTACAGAAATGGATTCCTGCATTTTTTTTATGGTTCAGGGTTCCCTCAAACTGTCAGAGAAATATTAAACTGTTGGCCTTTGACCCCGATGGAGACGAGGTCAAATGCAGATATGCCAGTACTTCCTTGGCAGAATGCCACTCACCCTGCACACCTCCACCTGTTCTCAGCCTCTCCTCAGTAAGTACCTTGTTCTAATCTTCTCTTACGCAACGCCATAGTTTATATAAAAGTTGTAAATCCAGAGATTTTGGTAGAGGCACAACCAAATAATCTGCATTTAAATAATTTAGCCTATACAATTTTTTTATGTAAACTATTTATTTTGTTGCTCTTTTAATTCCAATAAACATTTCGATGTTTAAAAAAAGAAAAGGTCAAGGGTGGGTATAATTTTATTGGAAATTTAGGGGGTTTTTTCCTGAAAAATTTTCTTGTTCAGGGGTAAAATAGTAACTCTTCAACTCTTCAAGTATTAATCTTCAAGTAATGAAAAATTACAAGTTTTTCTTTACAGATGATTGTTTTGAAGATTAGTGTGAATTTTCTAAAGGGAAGTTCTGTTAAGTTATTATACAATATGTAATCTGTTGTTAAAAAATGTGATATCATTGTGAGCTTGATGAAATATATTAGTTTCTAGTTGTGTAAGAAGCGAACAGCTTGTCAGAGGTGCAAAGTCTTTTCTAGCCAGCTTCAGCTATTTAAAACGTAGAGAAAAGTGTTGATACCAAGTAGAAACAACTACAATGCCTTGCTAAAGTATTCACCCACCTTTAACTTTTCAAACTTTTGCCACATTTCAGTCTTCAAACATCCATCCATTCATTTTCTTACACGCTTATAACAAGTGGGGTCGCGAGGGGCGCTGGTGCCTATCTCCAGCTGTCTACAGCGGGGTATACTGTACCCTGGACAGGTCGCCAGTCCATAGCGGGGCGTCTTTAAACAAAAGATATAAAATTGTAATTTTTGTGAAAAACATGCAAGTGGGACACACTCATGAAGTTGAATGGAATTAATGGATATTTTAAACTTTTTTTTACAAAAAAAAATAAATAAACTTGATCTGCAAAATTATTTCCCTCTTGAGTTAACACTTTGCTGCGCCTTTTGCTGTGAGTACGGCTGCAAGTCGCTTTTTGATATGTCTATATCTATGCAAAACTGATATATATATATCAGTTTTGCATATCGAGAGACTGAAATTTTGTCCATTCCTTGCAAAACAGTGCAAAGAGGAATGTAGCTGCAATATTTGGATTTATTATTAGTGTGTATCCATGGACACCTGGAACTAAATTCCTGCAGTATTTACAGTATGCATGGGCATGCTTGTGTATGAAGGGTTAACAATGCTTCAAAATATGCCTAATAGCAGGTGTGGGAGACCTCACACTCTCCCCCAGGGACGAGGAACGATAAAGAAATGACCAGAGAGCCAGATATCAAAATGCACCTCAGATCACTGGAACATAGGGAGGGTAGATATAGGGATGACTGCATCCACTCGAGAAGGGCACCCAAGGCTCAGCAGGAACCCGACCCCAGAGGGGCCAAACCGCAAAAGGGCCATGTCCCTGAGGGGCCTTGGCCCCAGAGGCCATGGTGCTGAGTCCCCATGAGGCTGTGGTAGCAAGCCTATGCACACCACTAGCAGCCAGTAAAGGCCAAGGTAGACCTGGATGAGAGCACTAGGGTCCAAATCCCGGGGGACACACCTACCCCCCCAGCAGGGACCCGACATGGCCAGGAAGCACTGATAAGATAAGATAAGATAATCCTTTATTTGTCCCACAGTGGGGAAATTGGTCCTGTCCTGCATTCACCTGGAATAAGAAAGAGCTGCCAAATTAGCCACTTTTTTTTTTTTTTTTACCTGTGTGAATTTAGTCCTTAAAAAGCTGGGGAATCCTAACTTGGCCAGCCACACTGATATGAGGTATAAACGGTGTATTAGTTTGATAAAGGGTTCGTATAACTTGATTTCAAAGCCAGGCTAACAGGGTCAGCCTCTTCAGGTTAGAACAAATCAGATATCTATGGATGTAATGCAAAAATTCTAGGTGACATCCTCTGGTTTTGTAATTTCTAGTCTGTGAAACATGTCAAGCTATCAAAAAAAAAAAACTCTCCAGTAAGCTATTTCTGTTGGTTTTGCTTTAAATAAATTGGAGGATAAAAGGTGTGCTCTCTATTACGTTCCTAATGTACAGTGCAACATTGGTCCGTTGTAAACGCCAGCTTGTTGTTATGCTAGCAGCACTCGGTCTTTTATATAATGCCTTTAGTTTTATGCTGTATCAGATGTTGGAGCTTATTATTGAGACACTATGAAATTGGCAAAAGAAAGTTCATGTAGCGACTTTGTCACTGGAATCATGTTCAGTATAAAGTGACTATTGCACTGTGGTTATCTGTTATAAATGCTGGTTAAACCTGTCAGATAATCACACTTTGGGATTCTGTGGATTTCCAATCCTCTAATTCGTTTTTTATAACTAATGTGAGGATGTAGGTCACACTGATGGGACATCTTCATACTACAGATGAAGGAAGCATTACTGATGATAGCGCCACAAAGCCTCTTTGAAATTATCCTTTAACAACATCTGTGCATGTTTTAGTAGAACCTTTTTGTGTGGAGAAGTATTTTTTTATTCATCTTGAGATTGTTGGTCTATTTTCTTTGTTCTTGCAGAATTGTACCCTGTCATTCGGTCCAACTTTATCCCATAATGAGGGTTCGTATGCAGTTCAGATGGTCATAGAGGACTTCCCCAGACAACCAATCACCCTGACTCAAACTGACGGGCCACAGGTTTCCAAAGCTACCCGTGATGTAATCAGCAAGATACCCATCCAGTTTGCTTTTCTAGGTACAATCTTACCAAGTTGTTACAATATTTACAACCGTAAAGAGCTACTCTAATCGTAGAATTATTTTTTTAAGGGCGTTTACTGTCTGCTTACCTGTATAATTATGTCATACAGTGTCCTTGAAAGAGACCTTTCACTGCTTTTACAGTGCTTTTAAAACCTAAATAGGGTCACAATGCTCTTATTGGTGGTCATGAAGGGCTTTTAGCTGGTGCAGAAAGATCTAAAAGCCCCCCACATGACCCTCTGCAACTTGCCTACCTCAGCCTATACTTTATCTGGCATTACCTCGACCACCCAAGGACATATATCAGGATCCTGAATTTGGACTTAAACTCAACCTTTAACACCAATAACCCACTTATCTTCAATTGAAATCTCATCAAACTTGCCTCCACCCACCAATGGGTTGCCAGCTTCCTGAATGATCAGCAGCAGTATATAATGTTCTTCCTCTCCTCATCCATCCAAGAACCACCGACCCTGGAGCTCACCAAGAAAATATCTACTGCATACTTTACTTCTCTCTGAACACAAATGACTGCACATCTGCGGACCTGTGAAACCCTTAAAGTTTACATCTGACACCACCGTCATTGTTCTGATCCAAGATATAAAAATATCTGCATACAGATAGGAGGTGGACTAGATGGTTTATTGGTCCCTGCTGAACCAAGTGGAGCTAAACTAAAATTGGTAGACTTCTTGGCAACACCCGCAAATATAGTATAAGGATATTCAGGATGAATCATACCTCAAACCTATGATCAAATAAAGAAAAAATAAAATTGCTGCGCACCCCACCCCTACTGGCTAGAGTCAAACTCTTACCTTCAGAGAAGTGGTACAGAGCACTTAGAATAAAAACAAACCACAAAATAGACAGTTTATTTACGTAGGCTGTCCTGTTGAAATAAATGGCCACCTCACAGCTGGAGTGGTCAGATACTCTGCTAGAACGTTTAGGGATTTTTCTTCCTCCGTTTATTTATCGAAAAATAAAAATGGACACTTTATGATTATTTATTTTTCATTATGTATTTTCAGTCTTTAAGCATGGTTTTAACGTTGTTTGTTTTGGTGGAAATGTAAAACATGATGTAAGTAATGGAAAACTGAAGCTGAATTCCTTGTTTGCACAAAAAAGTAAATTCAAAAAAGTTCAAACAAAATTAATACAAGGTTTGCTTGACAAAACAGTTAAATGAAAAATTGATACTAAAAAACCTTTTCTGCAAACCTTATTGCAGGATAAAGTCATTTCGCAGACAGGGCTGTAGTTATATTTCCAGTTGAGAATGACTCAGTTTGTTTCTGTTCTGATGTGTTCCAGTGGATCCTGCAGCACCATCCTGCTTAGAAGGAGTTTATCTGCCCAGGTTTGTGCCTCCAACTCCAGAACATGGAACTCGGTTCTACCGTAAAGTGAATGACACTCTGGAGATCAACATCAGGGCACTCGCAAAACAATCTGTGTAAGGCATGAAAATTTGATTCTATATAAATTATTTGATTCAAATCAGAAATACTTTATCACTCCCAAAGTGAGTTTAAAGTAGTTCTAGAGCAACCCATCCAAGAGACACAGTACAACAACATACATAAAGGTGCCTGAGACTTCAGCCATTAAAGTCACTGCTCTTTGGTTAAAGATACATGCAAAGACAGACAGATGGAAGGATGGGCAGGCGGGCAGGCTGGCAGGCAGACAGGGATAAAAACATTAAATCTCACAATGTGCCCGTGACAAGGCATGATATAAGGTTGCCAAAAACCTCTGCATAAGAAAGAGGAGAGCACCTGGAGGCCAGCAAATGTGATAAGTTTGAGGGTGCATGTGTCTGCCATCGAGGATATTGTTGGTATGGGTTTACATATGAGAATAAGTCCATGAGCCAGGCCTGGAGCTCCTCTTGAAATGAGGATGCATATATATCGTGTGAAATCTAGAGAAGCCTATTCCCATATGAATAACTCTTGTTTTACTACTTTTCTAAAATGTATCTTGTCATGAATCCTATCTGTTGGTTTTGGTTTTTGGGCTGTTGGCACTTCCCTGCCCTGTCATCAGCCTCTGGCTCTGGTCATGTTCTGCACTGTTTCTACCTGTTACCAGTTTGTTTAACCCTTTATTCAAAGCCTGCTTCCAGTCTTCCAGCCATTATCCAGTATAGTCAAAGCATGCCACCATTTTGTTCAGTCATTTTATGCCTTCTCAGGTCTGCAATCAGCAACCTGACAGATTATGGGGGAGGTTAAATCATAACTTATGCTTAACCTATATTTCCTGTTTGATAAAGGTTTTATATATTTTGGAAGATTCTCTCTGCACATCACCATTAAAACGTTGAAAAACACAGCTGATCCATTTACTGTTTTAACATAATGTAACAATTTCATACTTTTCCTGTTTAATAAAGGATCTCTGAGCTCCTGTACAGTGGGCCATCCAATGTGGTCAAGAATTCTTTAGAATCAGGAAACTTCTCTCTGACATGGACACCTTCTGCAAGAGAAGATGGACAGAGCCACCCGATCTGTTTCGTTGTTCAGGGAAGGTCAGTATTTGGTCCTAAGATATACTAAATGATTAACTATCATCAGCTGAAGAAGGTTGCAACAATCTTTGATCTCTTCAATTTACACAATCCTGCTTGGTTGTCCAAAAACCCAGAGTTACAATCTCTTTCACATCCCCCTATAGATAATCTATATGATTTACTGAACCTTGCAATATGTGGTGGGGTTGAGGGCTAGCCATGGTCTGGTTGTAATGACATGGACACTGCAAACAGGGCAATGCCAGCGGTGAAAGTATTTAGATGGAGTGATCATATGAGGCGGATAAGTGGTTATATTGTCCGTTATAATTAGTGTTGCACCAATACCGATACCAGTATCGGGCGGGGCCCCAATCCATCACTAAAATGGTGGTATCAGCGAGTAAAAATAAATAGGGCACCAATACAATTCTGAGAGCCAAAAGTTTATTCAACTATTGTCAACCATTGCAGGTAGGCAATAAAAAGTTCTACTGGATTCACTTTGTATTAGTCTTTTTCCTGCTTCACAGAGGTACTGTAGGCAGCAGCTTGAAAAAGCCATGATAGCAATTATTTTACATCCAAGTAGTATGCAGTTCTTCATATATACACACACACATCAATTTCAAACAGATGGTATTAGTATGATATTGGCCAATGCTGCACAGCCAGGTATCGGGTATCGGTATCAGGGCCAAAAAAGGGCATTGGCGCACACTAGTTATAATCACGTTCTATGATTTGTGTAGGAAAAAAAGAAGCAAATGACATACAAATATACCATTTGCTTCTCTGGCAGATCAAATCATCAGCATGAAACTCTTCCTTTTTTGAGAACAGAGGCGATGCTGTTCTCTTACTTTAAATATTTGAACACAGTGGAAGTCGGCAGCTGGTCAGTGCAGAAACATAGTTATTAAGATTAAAGCTTCAATAATAGCTGATTGACAGGCTTTTGCTGAACTGCATTCATCAGAATCAGCTGTGCTAAAGCAGAAAACCTTTAAAACCTGCAGGACAGCAGCCCTTGGGGACTGACTTTGGGCCTACCTGATGAACTCAAATTTTTAACAAAGGGGAGTTTTGAAAAGAACTACAGATGATAAATGTGATAAATATGTTTTATAAAAGCAAATATATAATTAGTATCCTTAAAATGATAATAAAGCAACTTTTCACATATGCTTCCACAGCTCTTGCAGTTCGTTGTATCAGTCGGAGCTTCGATGTGTCCTTGTGACAGTTGGGAACAGTAAGTCTTTCTGTCCCTTGTTTGCACTCATTCAAATTAACTCTCTGAACTGATGGTTGTTCTCCTATTTTGGTGTTGTCTTCACAGAACCAAAACCAACCTTTGTTAATGTTCTAAAGATGAAGATCTCTACTTCGCTCTCACTGAAGGACAATGCTGACATGATCGGACAAATGGTCAGTAACCCGATGAGATTGAGAAAAATAAAAATTCAACCCAACCTTCTTAGGCTTTTTTTTAAACCTCTCCTGAACCAGTTCTATATCTTGAAACGTGAACCCTTTAATCACCAATGCTAAATGTTAGGCTAGAGGTTTAATTATTGCTTCATTATTATTTCCTGATCATAGACACAGTTTACAGGTATCATTACATCTCAACTAAACATTAAGTTTCCTTCTCCAGATAAAAGAAGAACTGATTAGAAGAGGTTTTCCACCGGGTATAACTGTACGCCTACTGAGCAACGGCTCAATAGTAGATCAAGGATAGCCGATCTTAACCTGGAGAATCTCGGAGCCCACTTCATCCACTGATATCATAATCTTTTTTATGATAATAAACCTCATATAATAACCTCATATGCATTCATCCAATATATGTCCAGTCTAACGTTTCAGTCACTAAATCGATAAGGATTCATATTTCCACACACATATACAATATGTTAATTGTTTTAATCTAAAATGTTCAGAATTTTCTTTATAAATTGTTTTAATGTTATCAGATCCTGAATATTTCTGTAAATAAATATCTTAATAGCCTCTTCATCACTTCTGTACCTGCTGCTGCTGCTGTGTTTGTTGGCATAATTCAGTTAGCAGTTTTAGTACTAAAATGAATAAACAAGGGGAGAAACTGCTCCCTGTTTTTTAAAGTGGGGGACCTTACTAATGTTTCTCGTCCCTCCAGGGCCCTTTCTTCCACCCACAAAATATTTTTAAAAATTCTCCTGCTGCAAGGCAGAGAACGTTCTATGTTTTCCAAAAAAGTAAAAAAAAATAATCCACTGGATTTTTTTCCCCCAAGTTTGAAGACGTTTCGCTTCCCATCAAGGAAGCTTTTTCCAATTCAAAAAAATATTTTAAATTGAAATGTTTGAATCAAAAAAGTTTCTTGGATGGGAAGCAAAACGTCTTCAAACTTGGAAACAAAGTCCAGTGGATTGTTTTTTAAACTTTTATGAAATAACTATGACCTGGATAACTGGGGAATCTTCACCAGCATATTTCTAAAATGTTTTGGAGTTGAAAGCTAGACATGGTCTGGCTGTGATTGACAGCAGCACACTGGCACAACAATATGGACATTACAAACATAAATCATTGTGTATCCTATTAGGAAGTGTTTACAATAAAAAAACAAAAAAAAAAACAATTTTATTCATAATATTATATTATTTTCTTCGACTGTTTGTAATTGTTTTGATTAACTGTGTGCTGAGACCTTCACAGCCTTTCTGTAGGGTTGAAGTTAGTGAGAGGAACTTTTGTTTAATCAGAACAGGGCATAACATTGAGCCGTTGGGCAGCTATGAATGTCTTGTTCTCTCTTTTCAAAGAAAGCTAATAAAATGCTGACTGAGTGAATAGCCATCTATCTACTTTATTTAAATGGATTGTTGAATACTTTTTTCTCACAATAGTATATTTAAAAATATATTGTCAAATTCAGTCACAAGCAGGCTTAAATTGGAAGGCAACAGAAATTTCGTCTGTTTGCCGCACCAGAGCAAACTCTAGTTGGAGGGCCGATGTATTTAATCAGCATGGAGGACCATCCTCATGCACACATTGCACATCAGATACAATGGGTTCTGAGTTTGGTCTTTTGAATCATAATGGGAGTGCTTAGGTAACCTGGGAATGACTGAATTGTAAATGCTTGTAAGCTGAAACCACAATCCTTTCCCTTGGTTCAGTGGTCGCTTTTCTCTTTTCACAAAGATAGCTTCGATGGAGTACTGGTCAGCATGCACAACGCAGGCCTTAGTTCTGGATATGGCCGACCTGGGTTTAAATCTGACCTGTGGTGCTTTGCCGCATGTCTCTTCCCCTCTCGTACCCTATTTCCCTTCAGCCCACTGTACAAAAAACAATCAGTGCTGTAAAAACTGATTAAAAAAAAAAGATAGCTTTCTTGATACCAATTTCCAACCACCTGTCTTCTCTGTCCAACATCTGAACACTTTGGTCTTCAAAGGTGTGTCCTTTGTTATTGAGGAGCACATTTACAGCTGAACCTGACCCAGAGCTGCTGGCTCTCCTATGCTGTGCATTGCGTTTACGAAGTTGTTTAGTTTCTCCAATATAGGAGGCTGTACAGTCCTCACTGCACTGGATCACATACACAATACAATTCAGCTTAGGTTTGGGTGTTCTGTCTTTAGGATGAACCAGTTTTTATCTGAGTGTCTTTAGGTTTGAAATTCACTGGTAAGTTGTGTTTTGGGAAAATCTTTCAGATTTTCTCAGAAATTCCTCACACATAAAGAATTACAATGGTTTTACATCTCTCTGCTTACTTCTCTGTATTGCAAGCAGCATTGTTCTTCCTGCTAGTTGTTTTGGAAAACTTAATAAACAGCCATCTTGACAAACCCCATGTTTCAAGTGAGGTCTTGGTTTAAGTTCTTTTGTTTCAAGTTTACTCTGATTCCCGGGAAACCAGAACCAAACAGGGAGAAGCATTCTCCACTGATCTGGAACAAACACCAAGATCACTACTGTATAAAGGTGCTACTACTCAATTCTGTAAAAAAACAAAACAAAAACAACGAATGAGTATAGTTTTGTTTAGAACTGCATCTAAGTGTCTATTTGAACTGCTACCTGAAACATTATTACTTACATTATGTAGTCTAGTTGTTCTGTAGTAATTCATTGCAGTTCCCATTTTGTTTTTTTTTGTTTTTATCATGTATGGTAGACTAATTTGAATTGCCTGGTCAGCCAAAGGTGCTATACAAATAACCTTATCTTACCTTGGTATATATGTAAATGCATTTTTCAATTGAGCTTGTCGTTTTAATTTGTTGTTTCAGAGGATCCTCCAACATCCTTCTGCAAACTATCTGCCTGTCTTCCTGTCTTTGGACTTGCGTCAATCAGTCCTTTAGACCTGTAGGCCAGTACAGTGAAGCCAAGCACAGCACATTCAAATGTGGCTTGGTTTGTATCAACGTATGAAAGGATTTACTCATAAAACAATTTTAGATTTCAATAAATTTTCATGGCTTTCACATCCGGTGAGCATTTAAAATAACTAAAGATAGCCATACTTATGTGAAAATTCTCTCTGATGTTTGAGAAATAATGTATTTGTAAAAATAATAACAGAGAACTTCTGGTGCAGTACTAGTAAGGATAATAAATATTCTTAAGTCTAATTAGATTTTTCATCTGCAGCTGTTCAACATAAACAAGATTAAACTCTCTTCCTGAAGTCACTTTTATGAACAAAGCAATTATACTGTACAATGTCCATAAATCTGAGGTAAAACAGTCAGCGATAAGCGATGCTGCCTATGTCCATTTAATATGATACCTACATCAGACTCTAAGGTGTTTTCACTAATATTGCTTCCTTTTTATCACAGTTACCACCAAACATATTTTTACAACTTTTCACTTCATTCTCAAACACATCTGTTTCTTACGGAGCCCCTAAAGGGACATGGAGGGAAAAAATAAACTTTTGCGAGATCCCGCAAAACTTTTGCCAGATCTCGCCAAAAATAAACTTTTGTGGGATCTCGCAAAAGTATTGCGAACCCTCCATGTCCCTTTAGGGGCTCCGTAGTTTCTGGCTCGGTTAGACTGTTAAATATCTTTCAAATAAGTAACCTCATAAATATTTAGTCTGATCAAAGCTACCAAACAGAAAAAGATTTTAAATGAATACATGCGCTAACTGGTATTAATGAAAAAAACAACATACATTTTCATCCAAAATATATTTTGAATACCAATAATCCATCTTTTAGAGCATGTCTGGCTGGGTACAGGAGGTTGGTACCTATCTCCTACAGCCTACTGCATGGGTGAAAGGTTGGGTACACCCGAGACAGGCTCCAGGCCATCACAGGGATACTCGGAGAGATACAACATGTACACACACACAGACACAAACACACTCACCTAAGGGCAATTTAACATTATTAATAGTCACAGTTTTGGAGTGTGGGAGGTAATACTCAGTGTGGGAGGGAACACTCAGAGAGAACCCCGGCATGCAAGGCCCCAGGACAGGATTCCAAACGTCAACTTTTTGCTGGAGCCAAGTCTTGAAAATGTCACATCTATCAAGTATAAGTAAATAAATATTTACTTTGATGAATTATTGACCGTCCCAATGTTGAAGAGATTATGATCCAAGGGACCACATTTTGAACCCTAATCTGGAGAGCCAGACTGATCAAGTGTAGCACCTATGTTTAGCTGTACATATTATTAATCTGCGTCTGCTCCCATCGAAAGTGTTCAGGATGGTAAGACATTAAGAGGAACCTTTCCAGTTGATTTGGCGATGGTCCTGCATACCAAAGTTTGATTTTAAATGAAAATGGTAACATTAAAACCAAAATAACTTATGCTTGAAAGCTCTTTCTGTTTGTCTTTAAAAGATAAAATCGAAATTGATGTGAGAAGAGCAGCTACTCGTGTGTCCTCCTGCTTACTGACCCTCCCCTGCAACAACACTGCTATGGTGTCAACAACGTATTCACATGCAATTTTAATTGTATTGCAGTAATACAGTATTTGCAAAACTTCAAATTAGCAGAATATCAACAACGTTTTGTGCACATTGGTTATGGAAAGGATTTTGGTATATAATATGATGATACACTATGTTTAAAGAAAATAAAATACAGCAACAACAAAGACCCCAGAACACCTGAGTTGATGAAGCCAAAAATGTGATGAACCAAGGCTCAAGAACTTAAGTAACTCTCTGAACTTATGTTTTTGGATCATTTTCTTTTTTTTTTTTAATATCTGATCCTTATCCACAACTTGCAATCGGGTCTCCACTAATGTTAAAACTCCGCCTTGAAAATCTTCCTCATCCAGGTTAGAACAGGAGAGGGAGTGGAGGCGGTATATATACTCCTGGATTCTAATTACTTTTAAGAAGAGTCATTGACTTGTCCATGATGTTACCTACTGTGCTCCTTTTGATGCTGATTATCAGTCGAACACAATGCTCTCATTATCGCGGCACTATGATGACCTACTACCCACAGAAAACATTTTCAAATGGATCAGTCTCTGTAAGTATGGATTATTTCAATTCTCCCAGGTTTAAGTCTTTCAAGCTTTGACTATGCTTCTTAACATTTTACAGGTGATCCTTCGCTTTAAGTTTAACTATCGAGCCTGTGAAGTTTCTTCATATTCTTGCACTGGAAACTGTGGTGCTGAAAGCACAATTGTTACAGATGCAAAGATTGAGGAAGTCAGTGGTATCTGGTGCCAGAGTGAAAAAATCACATCTCGGCTGCTTCCCAACAACTCTCCATCTCAGCTTGTGTGAGTCCCATTTTATAAAGTTTAACAACATTTGGCATTTAAAAATATTTGAGCGAGGAGACAATTCACTTAATTTCCTAAACTATATACCTAATTCCTCATGATTTAACTATTGAGACAAAAACTGCAATTCCCTGAGCATCATTTTTTAACAATTATCCTGAACTTCTATCCCAGATTCAGCGGTGGTGGCTGGTTTGATACTCTAAATAACATTTACTCCTGGAGAGCTGTAACTAGCGTTGAGTTGAGACACCGATCTGACACCAAAAAAATCAACGTACCACCACAAACCACCATCTTTCCGGCCCTGAGGTAAGTTTCATTTAGGTCACATGTATCAGTGTTATATAAACAGTTAGAAAAGATTGTAGAGCAAAGACCCAAGAAAAAAGAAAGTGTGCTGTGCAAAAGAGGACGTAGGTGGACATCAGAGATAAAGAGACAACCACTGACCATATGCACAAATACAGAAAAGCCACTATAACAACAGCATGTTTATATATAAAAAAAAATCATTACTCAGCAGATAAAAACTGTGTAATATTAGGACAAGTTTATTTATAAGCACATTTAGGTAGCAAGACATTTCAGTGGTTCTCTCAAATAAGCAATAACTTGATTTATTTTCTTTATGTGATCATAAAGAATTATAAAAGGATGGAGTAATAAATGCCTTAATGGAGACTCATTTTGAGATTATTTGGGGCTAAAATAAGTACAGCATTGGTATGACCCAAATATATAAACATGGCTATGTTCTAATGGATTCTGTGTATTTGTTGTTTCTAAGGGTTCCTTCAAACTGTAACGTCAATATTAATCTGTTGGCCTTTGACCCCGATGAAGACGAGGTCCGATGTAGAAATGCTATCCTTTCCCTGAATGAATGTGCTTCACCTTGCACACCTCCACCTGTTCTCAGCCTCTCCTCTGTAAGTAGCTAGTCCTAATCTTACACTAGTTATTTTGTAGAAGCCAAATAATCAGCATTTTCTTTCATTAGTTTTTTACATAGTGTCATAATCTTAAAGTGTGCTTTTAATGGTTTTTATTTAAATAAATGTAGTTATTTTCTACAAGTCCTGCACTATTCCGTAATCTTTTCCCTTTGGCTTTTGCCATACAGGTTCATTCTCATTCATCTTATGTATTAGATGCTAATTTTTTCATGAACAGGACAGATGTACCCAGTTTTCAGGCGAGTCAGACAGTGGGAAAGTTATAAAACGTTTAATGACAAATCAAAAACATAAGAAGAACAGAACGTGGGCTGCTGTGGATCTGCAGACATGCAGCGGCTGCAGGGGGAGGCAGGGCACCACCCAATCACTGAGACTCTGGTTTAACAGTTCAGTCTGGACTGCCGGATGGATGGACTGCCTAATGAGATGCGGCACAGAGCCGGCCAGAGTGTTCCTGATGCAGTAGCCCCAGTGGGAAGTCAGGAGTCCGGTCAGGGAAAACAGAATCAGAACCGGACAGTTCTGAGATCCAGGAGTCCATAGCCAGACAAATGGTTTTGATCCGAACAGGAACAGAAAGATTCAGGTTCCGGGAATCCACGGAAATTTCAGGCAGGTTAAGAGTTCCACGAGTCAAGCAGCGAGCTTAGAGACGTTCAGATGGAGACAGGCGGGTCCAGTGGTAGAGAGGAACAGAGACAAGACATGGTACAAGGAGAACTGCAGAACATTAAACTGGCTCCGACCAAGAGCCAGGGATTCAGGAATTAAAACTAGATCCCACGCACCCCAAGGCAAAACCAAGCGGGCTCAGCGGAAAAGAGCCGGGACATGATCAGGAGACACAAGACAAACACTAGAACCTTCTTGACCCACTGGCCTCTGGGGACAGGAACATGAACCATGGAATAACACAACTGAAGACTAACGAAACAAAACATACATAAGCAATGATCTAGCCCTGAAGAATACAAAATGCAGCAGGAGCAGATGAAGGATAATTAGAGAGCGGGGGTGGCATGGCAGGTGAATGAAATGAGTAATTAGATAAGCTACCGGGGCTTTGATCATGACAAATTTTTGAACACTTTTATGTTTTTAGCATTCTTATTACCTTGTTCCTTTTTTTAGGAGGTCCTGAGCCAGTATTCTCTGTTAGATTATACCCTTGTTGCTCTGCTTAATTGTATTCACACTTAAAACCAGCTCCACACATATCACTTCAAGTGTCTGTGCCATCATTTAATGTAAAAGCTATCATGCAGTGGTCCTACCTAGATCCATACAGGACCTGTTCATGCCTTTTATTCCTATATTGAAGTCGGACAAGAAAGATAGACTGGATCTATATATCTGATGGATGATGGAGGGGGGCTGTCTGTTAGGCTGCAGTGCAACAGTGGGTAGGAATTTCCACAGTGACTAGACAAGCTTTTATTTGTGAAAGTCTGTGTGATGTTGGGTTAGCTCTCACTCTCAACCTCTACCACTATACAGTCAGCTTCATTCATTTCCCCTCTGCTATATCAAACATGTACCTTTCTAATCTGTACATGGGACTTTATATACCTTACAGTTTGTTTGAACCCTGTTCTTTAATTGCTGAGGGATATAACAAAGAGGGGGATATAACAACATTTTTGATGGTGAACACATAATACAAAGAAACATTTTGCCTGAGGCATGCCTGAGCACAGCTAAATGTTAGCCCTCATAAGGTGCACACAAAGAGGGGACCCCTGGCTCTAGTTCTCCATCAATTTATCCCAAAGCAGCCCCCTGTCACGATGTGGAATGCATAAGCTGTCTGCAGCAGTAACCAAACATACAAACCCCTTACTCTCCATAATTCAAACTTAAAACACAGATGGTTCTCCTGATAAAGCTTCAGCTTTAAGTGTTGGAATGTCCTTCTAGCTGATTTACAGGATACATATACATAATGAGCATCAACTTAAAACAGACATGAAACCTTTAAAAGAAATTATCCTTCAACAAGTTTTCAGACATTACTACAAAAAAATCATATCAACGCATATGCTATATATATATATATATATACATTTATTTATTTATTTTTTTTTTGCTTTGTTCTTGCAGAATTGTACGCTGTCATTCAGTGCCACCGCAAGCAGTAATCAAGGTTGGTATGTAGCCCAGATGGTGATGGAGGACTTCCCCAGGCAGTCAATCAACCTTACTCATAATGACGGATCCTACGTTTTGAAAACTACAAGCGATGCAATCAGCCAGATACCAATGCACTTTGCTCTTTTAGGTACAATTTGATTATGTTTGCCATATTTCTAGCAATGAAATGCTACAAAGTAGCTGAAGAGTAATGTAAACCATAACCATGCATGAATTTTAGACTTTCCTGATGTGTTTCAGTTGATCCTGCAGCACCATCCTGCTCAGAAGGTAATTATCTGCCCAGATATCTCTCTCCAACTCCAGAACATGGAACTCTGTTCTACAGTGACGTCAATCAGACTTTGGAGATCAACATCAGAGCAGTTGCAACACATTCTATGTAAGCCAATGCAAAACACATGGAAAGCTGATTCAGTGCAAACAAAACAAAAGATGGTACACCTCAGAATTATTTGTTAAGACATTTTGTTTTTGTGGAAATGCGACCTAAGCTGGAAATAGACCGTATCTGTCCCGTCAAGGCAACGCAAGTCATTTGTATAGCACATTTTGTCAAGAAACAATTGAAAGTTTTGCATGATGAAAACATTAATCAGAGGACATTTCAGTGATAAAACAAAAGACAGTGACGACAATTTATGATATTTATATTTATAACAAAGAAAAGGGTCTAAAAGTAAGAAGCAGTGCTAGGTTCTAGGTGTCAATGATAGGCTCTGACTCTATATTTCCTTACTTTTTGCACAGCTTTTCTGTGTGTATATATAGTTACATGGAATGTAAAATTGGTTACGCTTTAAAAAGTAAACATATAATAAAAATTGCCTCGACATATTTGAAAAGATTATTGCTACCAATGAGGGAAACATCTAATCTGTTGTCAGGTGGTAAAAAGTTGGAATCACGGTACAGATCTAATTACTTGCTGTTTTATAAAGGATCTCTGAGCTCCTGTACAGCGGGCCGTCCAGTGTGGTCAAGAAGTCCTCAGGTTCAGGAAACTTCTCTCTTACATGGACACCTTCTGTAGTAGATGCTGGACAGAGCCACCCCATCTGTTTTGTTGTACAGGGAAGGTTAGTATCTGGTCCTTATTATCATCAGTATAAATAAACATGTACAGAAAAAATACAGAAGTACACAAAATTTTAAAAATGACATCTATATCAATTGAATCTTTTTTTTCTTCCTCCCTGGTAAGAATCTATCAATATCCACAAAGCAGATATTTGCATTATTGCAATAATGCAATTTTACGTGGAAAACTGCCTAGAACAGCAATATTCATTATGTTGATGTTGATATCAACACTTAAATTTTTTACTGTCAGATTTCACAAGGTCAGATCATTCAGGGAGAGAGAAATATTTTTGCACAATCTTTGTAGATTTACCAGGACTATAATACAATTAAATTCTGTTAATTTATATGCCAATTCACAACACACACCATCTCAAGACTAATCAATGAATACTTTCTATGTTAAAAAGGTTCATGATAAACAAGCTCCATCAGTTGTTTTGTCCTGGAAAGAAACAGGAAAGGAGATGAGCTCTGACGTAGTTTTCAAGTCAAAACAATGAAAGAGAGTTATTATATTTTATCACAGTAGAGGCTGGACCTATAACTACTGTCAGTATAGGAGAGAAACAGGATTAAACACTGAAAAACCGGCGCAACTTTTTTAGTCATAATTGAAGTTAGGTAGCTGCCCAGGTAACCCCTACCTCCAGCATTGTGCCACAGTTAAATACAACGCCAGACCAGATAACTTACTATAATGACAAAAAGCAGAGAGAAAACAAAGTTATTGATTTAATTAACATATAAGACAAAATTGAAGAGTGTGGCAGAGTGAAGAAAAAGTGGTCCGTATGTCCTCCAAAGGCCTAACCCTATAGCAGTATAACTATAAATGTAGCTCAGGATAACCTGAGCCACTCTAGACTCTTTATCAAAATATATATTTTTAAGCCTAGTGTTAACAGTGAACAGCATGTCTGCCTACCAGTCTTGAACTGGTAGTTGGTTCCACAGGAGAGGAGCTTGATTACAAAAAATATCTGCGCCACCTTCTACTTTTATAAACTAAGAGCAGATAAATATGTAAGTGCAACTTAAGAAACATAAGGAAAAACCAGACATTTGATAAATGATGGAGCTTGGTTATTTAGAGCTTTGAACCTTAGAAGGAGGACTAAAAAAAATCTATTCTGGATGTAAAAGGAAGCTAATGAAGAGAAGCTAAAATATGAGAAAAAAAAGTATCTTTCCCTTTTCAATTTTTATCAGAACTCTAGCTACAGCGTTTTGGATCAGCTTGATAATTTGATGTGGGTACCCTTGAATATAGAGAACCCAAAAGGACATCCTAATCTACATACAGTACACCTATAATCTAAAACTCTGACACCAATTTCCCTCTTAGAAACCTTCCATATTCTATGATCACAGGAATCTCTAGAGCCAGTGACTAAAATGATATGGCTTAGGGCTGCTGGTCTCTTCCCTCTCTTCCCCACATTTCCTCTGTCTACAGTAAAGACAGTGGAGAAAAATTCTCAGACAATCGCAAAACTATCATCATTATGTTTGCTTTCCATAAATTTGTTGCTGTCACTTCACGTGTTATTCCTGCTGTCAATCAATCTGTCAGCAACGGCTGAAATGCCACCCAGTTTCTACCCATGCACCTTTTTCTACCTTTGCCAAATTCTTCCTCTTTGACTATTTGAGCTGATGTAATTAGTAAATTTGTCCACTGTGAGATCAATAAAATCAATCATTCAATCACTAAATAAATAAAGAATACTTGATTACAGATTTTAATTGTGTTTTTCCACAACTTAAAAAAATTGGTATTGCATGATGTGCTGCCCTTGTGGTGTGGTTGAAGATTAGACACTGTACAAACAAAACTCTGTTTTTTTTTTTAGATAGTTGAAATTCATCCCATAATTAATTTTTTTTTTTTACTGTGTGAAACAGCCCAGCTGTTTTCTTTTTTTTTATGTGGGAGGAATTAAGGCTCTTGAATGGGTTTAGTTGTTCTTTAAAGTGTACTTGTCTCTTCTGATATTGGGTGGGGCCAAGCAGAGAGAGGGAAGTCCATCATCTTTTTTCTGTTCTTATTGTCCATTATAGTCACGCTTGGTTAGTCCCTCTAAAGACAATGTCATAGAAAAAATAGAGTAACAAAAATTTATGATTCTATCCATTGGCAGACCAAACCTGCTCAAAAGGAAGAAACGTTTCCCTCTTTCTGTGAATTGAAGAGAAGTTGTTCCCTTACTGCAAATGCTGAGACAAAGTGGAACCCGGTAACAATTTAGTCTCACAAAACCTCTTGTTTTTTCTTGTTAAAAGATTAGTACTTTGAGTTGTATCAAAGCTTCAATTTGTTGGCCATGTTTTTACTATAATTAGAAATAAAAATGTCTTCATCTATGTTGTTTAGGGAGGGAAATTGTAATCATTTTTGAATTGCGGACTGTCATTTTTGGTGGATATTCGTTGAGCACCCAGATACAGAGATGGGGAGGCAGAGAGGATTTTTTTGTACATTTAATTAAGATATTAATAGCACAGAACTAAATGATTCAGTAACAATAGGCAAGGAACTCAGGAATAAAAGTAGAATACACTCAGGGAAACTGACATAAGGAATTAAGTGATGAAGAAAATTCAGCAAAGAAGAACTGCAGAGGAGGTGTTTATATGGTAGAAACAAACAATTAATGGGCTAATCAGTTGGTAAGGAGAAGGTGTGGACAGGAGAAACTAAAAAGGAGCTAAGGGGAAAGAAAAGGGACACTAGGGGGCAACAAACAACAACCAGGGAAAACAGGATCTAACTAGAAAAGAACATGAAATAAAATTGACAACAACTAAAACTAGACCAAAGCATAAATAATACCAAAAATGCTGAAAAGAGATAACCGAAAGAACTAACAAGTGGGACTAAAACGAATAATTCAAAAATTATATAAATCTTGACAAACACAGAATAAGATAAAATAATGCATACCAGAGCTTTGAAAAACAAAACTTAAACGTAACCAAAAAGTCCAGAAAAGACAGAATCATGACATGGATGTGCCGGCACACGAGAAAAAAAAGAAATCTAAGAAGTAGCCCACTAAAGATATCCCTTGTGCTATACTATGGTCTAATGGTCTACCCTGCGTTTTATTTTAATCAAATAATACTCAGGGTTTATCAAAGTGAAATTCTGAAAATAACTTCTCAATGAATTGGATAAATTTAGAAAAACAAATAAGTAAGTAACTATCTTTAAAGAGATAATAATGCTACTTTTCAAATCTGCTTCCACAGTTCCAGCAACTCTGTGTATCAGTCTGAGCTTCGATGCATCGTTGTGATAGTTGGAAGCCGTAAGTCTATGTTTGACCTTTGTTTCTGCTTGTTTAAATAAAATTTGTGAAATGTCTGTTTCCATTCTTTTGCTGCTGTAGTTCCAGAACCAAAGCCAAAATTTGTTAATGTTCTGAAACTGAAGATCTCCACTACACTTTCACTGAAGGATGATCGGGACATCATTGAAAATCTGGTCTGTAAATATGTTGAGAATAATGTAAACAAACACTACAAACACTAGTGAGGCCTGTACCACGAAGCGGGATTACTGGGTTAGCTAGACAACTTTAGGTACCACAAAGCTGGATTTTTTTTATAGCAAGGCTTGTCACAATGGCAACGTACTATATACGGAAAACCGGGGCTGCGGGGCAGGTTAGGTTGATTTAAATCCTAGAGAATGCTCCATGCCACAGCCAATCAGCTGTTTGGGAAACAATGACGTGACATTTTATTGAAGAGCGGATTTGATTCCGGTGCAACAATAACCTAAACAATTTTTTATGATTTTTTTTTGACTGTTTCTATTTTTCTTTTTCCTCATTTTTGACATAGCCTTCCAACCTTTTACTATTCTGTATTCATTTTCTCCTGTATAATGTCCTCACACACCCCTGGCCTTCCATTGTTTCTTGGGTGCTGGCTGTAGTTTGGGTCATTGTCATGTTGTAAGACCCAGCCTCAACCCTTCTTTAATGCTCTAACTGAGGGCCTCATGGCCCCAGTCATCTTCTCCTTAATACAGTTCAGTCGCATTGTGAAATGTGCAGAAAAACACCCCCAAAGCATCATCCTGCCAGCTCTATGCTTCACAGTAGGTGTGTTCTTGAGATGGATCGTCATGCTTCTTCCTCCAAACACAGTTAGTGGAATTATGACCAAAAAGTTCTATTTTGGTCTCATCTGACCACATGACTTACTCCCAACACTCCTCTAGATCATCCAAATGGTCATTGGCAAATTAAGATGGGCCCTGACATGTGCTGGTTCAAGCAGGGGAGCCTTCCGTGCCATGCATCACTTCAATCCATGACGTATTACCAACAGTAACCTTGGAAACAGTGGTCCCAGCTCTTTTCGGGTAATTGACCAGCTCATCCCATGTAGTTCTGGGCTGATTTCTCACCGTTCTTAAGATCATTAAGACCCCATGAGGTGGGATCTTGCATGGAGCCCCAGACAGAGGGAGAGTGACCGTCATGATAAGCTTCTTCCATTTTCCTGTAATTGCTCCAACAGTGGACCCTTTTTCACCAAGCTGCTTGGCAATTTCCCTGTAGCTCTTTACAGCCTTGTGGAGGTGTACAATTTAGTCTGTATTGTCTTTAGACAGCGCTTTGGTCTTTGCCATGTTAGAAGTTGGATTCTTACTGATTGTATGGGATGAACAGGTGTCTTTATGCAGCTAAGTGACTACACTGCTATTTTATATATATATTGGAATAGGGCTGCCTTCTTTAAAAGAAGCGTAGATTTTTACCATTTGTCCTGTTGAATTCTAACAAAGTTAAAAAATTATCGTAAGCCAGACTCCACGGCCGTCATTTTCTGGCGCCTTTGCCTCTATCAACTAGAAGATTCCTTGTTATACGGCTGATGAATGCAGCCTTCTTTTTGCCCCATTTGAAGGATGGGTCCGGGGTATCCTATCTGTCCTACGTAGCCTTGGGTATCCGATGAATCTTTGCAAGTCCAAGCAAGCCCGTCTGTTCCGTGCTCAGAGGTAAAAGGGAACTGGTGACGAAAATGGTGAATATTTTAATTGCAGTTTAATATAATACAAGTCTAAAATTAATGTAAATAAATATCTTAAATGGTTTTTGAGTCAGATATGTTATGGGTAATGTTTTATCTGTCCTTTCGCATATGTATGGGTGTAGCTGACATTTAAGCTCAGATTCCAATATTTCTGTGGTATGGAGACTATAATTCTAATATTTGTGACAACCTTAATGCTGCTAAAACTCCCTGTAAATGTAATTATCACAATGAAACAGTATTGAGAAATTTGGCATCCATTTTTTGCCTGCTTTGTCTGTCGACTGTCACAGGTAATAGGCAACAGAGAGTTGGGGAAGCCTGGTTGAATTCATAGCCAAACTCTTCTGGCTTCCTTTTTCTCAAAACCCTCAAAGGACCCAGTCCAGGTAGACCAGGTCCTTAGAGGACGCAGCCGCTGAAATCAAACACACCAATGATCACTCAGGGCTGGATTGAGGTAGTGAGTTGATAACAAGCTTTGTGGTACCACTGGTTCTGATTGCCATTGTTCTGGATGGGTTAAACGGGAAACATTGGGGTGAACCCCACTCAGTTGAGCTTGCTGCGTGGTATGGGCCTCTGCTGTACTGCTGATTTTGTTTCCGCTAAACCTGTTTTGTATCCTGAAAGTTGAATCTTAAACTTTTGAATATAGGTTTGCTTTTACAGGCTGATCCAAGATCTGATTCATTTTTCTGTTAATCCCAGCTAAATATTGTGTTTCCTTCTCCAGATTACAGAAGAACTAATTAGACGCGGTTTTCCACCAGGCATAACTGTATGCCTGCTGAACAATGGCTCATTGGAAGTAAAAGGATAGCTAGCCCCTAGTGGCCACTCATTAAAATTTATTTAATATTTGCTAGGACTGATTAAATGGAGAAGGGGCCCACTGCATCTTCAGATCTCCAAAAATGTTTTTGACAAAAATCGTTATTGTAAATAGACTTTATGCAACTAATGTCCATTTCTATATATTTAAAAGACATGAGAAAATCTGTAAATTCATGAGTAGACTTTAACAGTCTACTTATTGTTCATAGACTTTTGAGCAACTGCTTAATCTTATCAGTTTCTAGAGCTCTCTGTAAAGAAATGTTTGATCTGTTTTTTAATTGAATTTGTACTTGCTGTGTTATTTTCACTGGTTCCTGAATAATGGAGAAGAATGAAGTGGCATACGAAGCCAGAGCTTTTAGTTTGCCAATGTTTGTCATTTTAAGGAACAAACTTTATATGTATGAAAATTGTTAAAGCACGTAAAACTTAAATTGCTTTAAATCAAGATTTGGTTAGAGTGGTATTAGAATGTGTTATCTTAACACAATTAAATAAATTTACAGTTCAGTTTTAATTTTCTTTTCTTATCAATCATTTTATTGTATTGATTTAAATCTTTCATTTTTATTATTTCTAAAGTTTATGTTAATTATTAATTTATCTATCTTTATGAAAATGTAATGTACTGTTATGCATATTTTTCTTCCTTTTCATGCCCAAAGCTTTGAATCGTTTTTATTTTTAAAATATGCTAAATAAATAAGCTGGCCTTGTGTTGCTTTGCCTTTCAAAAAATAATTAAAATGAAAAGTAGTGCAAAAATCCATGTGCCAAAGGTAAAAGTTAAGAATAAACAACTTTAGACAAATATTTACAGTTTCCACTCAATGAGATTGTTTCCATTATTTTCTGGGGCGTGTTACAGTCAGTTTAACTCTAATATAGAATTATGTTGTGGCCAAGAAAGATAACTGGAATTTTCCATAGTCAAGTTGGGGTTTCTGCGATAGACTGGAGATCTGTCCAGGGTTTACCCCGCACTTGCCTGTAGACAGCTATATAGATAGGTTCCAGAACCCCAGCAAGACAAAAAATGGATGGAGGGATGAAGTTGGGGGTTTTGTGAGACTAAATGTGTGTCAGTTTCATATTTCAACTGTAAAAGTTCAAAACTATCCATCAATTTTCTTCTGCTTTATCTGTGGCCGGGTCTTGGAGGCAGCAGTCTAAGCAGAGATGGCCAGACGTATCAATCCACACACACGTCCTCCAGCTGCTCTGGGGGCACCCCGAGGAGACACCAGGCTAGCTCAGAGACATAGCAGAGACATGGTTCTGCTGCTGCTGATGGTCAAAGCCATGAAAACAAAATCAGGATCAAAAGAAGGAGGGGTAGGTTTGCAGTGGGTGAGAACTGGCATTACGTAGCAGGGGATTGAACCAAGAGGATTACTAAGTGGTTTAGAACAGCTGTTCTCAATCCGGATCCTCAAGTACCACTGTCCTGTAAGTTTTTGGTGTCTCTTTGGTGCCACACACCTGACTTATGTGAAAGGATGATTACTGGGCTTCCACATCCTGCAATCATTTGAAGCAGGTGTGCTCCAAAACTGGCACAGCAGCTGTTCTTGAGGACCAGGAGTGAGAACCACTGGTCTAGTATAATTCAGAAAAGAATGTTGATTTAGCAGAGGTGCAGTTAAACCTGGTGTACCTTGAAGAGCAAACATCAGGAGGAGCAGCACAGAGGTAGACCAAGGAGGAAAAGACTGAGACCCTAGGAAGAGTTCTTGAATTGATGGAGCTGGTAAGTGGTAAGTTGAGGGAAATACACAGAAGTAAGTATCACGAAAGAACACAAAATGGTCTGGTGGTTTGCTTGACAAAATCAGTCCTATGGTGACAGCCTCAGGAGGCTGCTCCAGTCTTAAAGCCTGCAGTGATGAAAGTAATGAGCACCAAATGAAGAAATCACCCTGCAGGTAGGAACACAACTACAACATAAACTGATACTCTCTTTTCTGCTGCTTTTATTAAAGGAATAACAGGAGTGGTCAAACGCTACCAGTAGGGGTCAGAGGTTTACACATGATAGAGCATGACCGTTCCTTGTGCAGTTTTATTGGAGGTGATGAGCTGCAACTACACAGGCTGGAGAGAGCATGACTTTTCCTATTCTGGGAGAACCATTTGTTCAGCAGAACATTCCTAGAAGGCCAAATGCATGTAACTTAATTAAAATGATAACGTACATTTTTCTAACAAATTTGGTCTAGCCTCGATCAATGCCCCAGGACCTAAATCTGGCAGGCCAATCACAATACAGAGATGTATTTTGAATGTCTGGATGCAAAGTGGGCGGGGTTTTGAGGGCATAACGACAAAGCTGCAAGATGCTGGAGAAAGCACAACAGTAGCATGCACTGTGGCAGCAACAGCTTTCAATGGACGCTCCATTGAAAGTTAAAAGGTCTCTTTTCTGTTGCTGTTGTTCAATAAAAGTATGTTTTGAGATAATTTGAGGCGAGAATATTATACTTTAAAGCTTCACTATATGGTCCATTTACCGACTTAATGCTTAATAAAAAAAAAACAATTTCCGAAATTGAGGGGACCACGGCAACCAATGGAGCTCCGAGGGTAACGGCAGCCAGGGCTAACCGACTATGCCCTCTCTAGGCATAGTCTTGTGTGAAGGACCGCTGGCTCTGATGGCGATTTTTGACTTATCTTTGGAATCAGTTTTGGAGGGATTAGAATTGGGGTTTTCATTGAAACGCGAGCACGAAAAGGCTCTACACTCATTCATTTTTGAGAAGGACCTATTCGCCGTTTTACCGACAAGCTAATTTGTTTACTTTCCCGCAGCAGCTTTCTGACGTGCTTCCTACGTCACAGTCACTTACTCTCATTGGTCAAAGCATTGGCCAGGAGGCACAGACATGGTTTGAAAAACAACAGGTTGTTTTCCATCAACAATCTACCGATGTCTCATTCATCGGGACCAGACTAAATAACACCTTTCATCTCCCATTTAGTCAGGTTTATCAGGCTAAGAGTCAACATCTTACATGCTGTTTTACGAAATGTCAATGTATAGTTTTATCTGTAGAATAAATGCATCTGACAATGATATTATCTTCTCAGTTACTGACACCAAACATAGTGCAATCTGATACCAGTCTAAGCTGTGGAGACTGGTATTGCTGTCTCCTTAAATCTCATATCTAATTGTAACTTGCACTTGTATTGTACTTTTCTACCTGAATTGTTTTATTTTTATCCTATATATTTATTGGACCATGAGTACGGAATAAAGTCTATCGTCAAATATGCATAGCTACAGGAAAAACTTATATACAGCTGAATTTTCTTGCTCTTGAAATATGCAATATAAATACATTTCCCTTGCCTTGCATTTGGTTTTCAATCACTCTGTTCACAACCTTAGTATATCATTATTAATTAGAAAATGTGTCTTTATATGCAAATAGCTCAAACTTTGCTCACATAGAAAACTATTTTAACTTTGCAATGCATTGCTAACAGTAATTTTTTTACCTATTTTATCTTTGATCATTATCTCACAGTTAGGGGAAATCTCCTCATACTAGGGTTCTGTGTAAAACCAAACGATAAAATACTTTCCCTTTCCAGAGCAGACAATAGAGTGCCTGTCTGCTGGATCATGAATTTCCTTCCTAAAACTCAGTCTGTGTAGAGATACTCAGTCATCATGTTCCTCTCCGTGGTTCTGCTGCTGCTGATAGTAAGCAGTTCACAGACTTCACATTTCCAAGGTACAATGACGACCTACTATCCAAAAGAAACTTATGTGAATGGATCCATCACAGTAAGTAAAGACTATAAATTTCTTCTTTTGCCTGAGAAAGTGTAGGTATTTTAAAAACTTCTTAAAACCCTCAGGTGATCCTTCGCTACAAGCTAAACTTTAAACAATGCACTGATGGGACATATACCTGCACAGGCAATTGTGGGAAAGAGACCCTGATGACTAACTGGTTGATGGTTGAGAAAATAACAGATGTGTGGTGTCAGACTGAAAAAATTACATCTCG